AAAAAATCTCTATAAAATCTCACATTGAAGAAGAGATTTGGATCAATGGCATCCCACCCTCTCCTCTCCTCCATCCTCACCCTGTCTTCTCGCAACCTTCATTCCTCTCTACTTTGCTGTTAATCTCACCTCACCTATCCATTTTCCATCTTAATGGCCATTAATGGTTCTTCCAAAGCTAGGGCTTCCACTCAAGGGACCCATTTTGTTAACCCCATTCCTATTTCGGGAGCTAGGTCCCCCCCACCCGACTATAATGGCATCTCCACTTCAACGGAACCTGCTCGGGAGAATTGCTAGCTTCCACTCCCATTTCGGGTGGTGGGACCCTCCCCACACTCGAATCTAATGGCACCTCCACTGCAAAGGTTCCCCCTTAGGAGAAATCACAAGCCTCTGTTCCGAATAGCTTGGGTCCTAGCCCCTCTTTCCCACCTGATTCGAACTTGGCTCTAGCTTCAAAGCCCAGATCTGCAAGCATTCTGAATGTGGTCTCTAATCCTAACTCTGATTTGAGTCCCGCAGTCCCATCGATTAGGAAGTAACCGCTTCATCCTAGCCTGGTGAGTGCTAACCACTACGATGCTCCAGATGGACAAGAAAGATGTCAATGGGAACCCTGAAGTGGTTGTTATTGATGTGGAGTACTAGTGGAAGCCAAAGCTTTGCCACCTCTACAACATTTTCGGTCACTCTGATGAATACTGCCACAAGAAGAGTAGGCTGGCAAGTGTATCTCTCACTCAGGATGTTGGCCATGCTGTAAATGACAAAGGAAAATCCATTTCCAGCACTACCATAGTAGTGGAAGAAGAAGACCAGCCACTTTCTACAATTCCACAAACCTCTTCCTTTCAAGTTGCTAGCTCTTCACACTCTGAAAAGGATCATACTATGTAGATGGACCAGGTTAATCTCTGCACTCTACGTCACGCTAATTCTCTTAGTCTCCCTGACAGCAGCATTCTAGGAAATACAAGCCAGAGTTTAGGTGAAGCAAGAGGCAAACTAGTTGTTGACATTAGCCCTCCTCATCCTAGCCTTCTTGATAGGCCTTTGACCTTTAATTCTATGAGTCCACTCAAGCCTGAAACCCAATGGCATACTCAAAAAAGAAAAAGACTAGAAAGAAACCCAAAGACTCAGGAAGATTAAGGGGTACTGAGCACCTTAGGCTCAGTAAAGCTCTTCTCCTATGATTAACTTGGCCTGCTGGAACATTAGAGGGCTCAATGATCCCTTTAAGCACGAGGAAGTGAAGAAGCTTGTTAATCATTATCAGCTTGATTTAGTTGGAATAGTTGACACCATAGTTAGAAAAGTTAATGCTTCTTTTATAATGCAGAATGTGTTTAGGCAATGGAACTACTTTGATAATTATCAGTGTCACACCTTAGGCTGTATCTGGATTGGGTGGAACCCAAACACCCTCGACGTGTGCAAAGTGTATGAAACTGATCAAATTATCCACTATCATGTTACACATGTAGATAGTCATTCTAGCATGCATGTCTCTATTGTGTATGCCTCCAATGAATTGGTGGAAAAAAGAGTTCTTTGGAGAGATTTAAGGCACCTTTCTAGAATTCATTGTAAGGAGCCTTGGGTTATCCTTGGGGATTTCAACACCATCAAAAATCCTTGTGAATCGCTAGGCTGCTCAGGGAAGTGGAATAATGGTATGATTGAGTTTTAAGAATGCTTGCAAGATTCTGAGCTAGAACACTTGAGGTACTCTGGTATTTTCTACACTTGGCGCAATAACAGAGATGGGGTGCATTGGATTACTTGAAAGCTGGATAGAATTTTGGTTAATGAAGAATGACTTACCAAATTCCAACAAGCTGTTGCTGAGTTTCTTCCTCATGGGATCTCAGATTATTCCCCTGGTGTGGTCAAGTTGGGAAGCCCAAAGAGAAAAAGACAATATCCTTTCAAATTCTTCAACTATATTGCTGATAGAGTTGACTTTTTATCCATTGTTGAGCATAATTGGATGGGAAGTGTGCATGGGTCTCACCAATATAATCTTTGCTACAAACTGAAAAACCTTAAAGGTGCTCTTAAGTCCTTATGCAAAGAAAAGGGTTTTGCCACTGAATTAGCTCTCTCTACTAAAGCTGCTCTTGAGGCTTGCCAAAGGAACGTGGACAGCAATCCTAGCAACTTACAGTTGGGGGAAGAGGAGAAGAGATTGCTTGCTGACTATCTGTTTGTTGCAAAAGCTGAGGAGTCTATTTACAAACAGAAGTCAAGGGTTTTGTGGCTTAACGAAGGCAACCAGAGCACAAGCTTCTTCTTCAAGACCATAACCAGTAGAAGAAATAAAAAAAGGATTGTTTCTATCAAAAGATCTGATGACTCTATGGCTGTTGGTGATCAAGTTGTCCAGTAGGAAGCCATCAACTTCTTCAAACAGCTGCTGAGACCAAACCCTATGGTTCTTGAAACAGATAGGATAAGCGTCTTAAACTCAGTCATTCAAAGGAAGATTCCCAGTCAATAGGCTACAGAGATGGCCATTCCCTTCACCAATGATGAGATTAAAAATGCCTTCTTTTTAATGAATGTCCACAAGGCACTAGGGCCTGATGGCTACAACCCTTATTTTTTTAGGAAAGCGTGGCCTATCATAGGGACTGATGTTGTTGAATCTGTGAAAGAGTTTTTTTCAAATGGCAAGCTTCTGAAAGAGTTGAATGCCACTATCATTGCTTTGGTCCCAAAAGTGCCTAATCCTACTTCAATGAATGACTTCAGGCCCATTTCTTGCTGTAATACCATTTACAAAGCCATCTCAAAGTTGATTGCCTCTAGAATCAAAGGTGTGCTTCCAAGTCTTATCAACCAAAATCAGTCTGCCTTTATTCCTAGCAGGATGATTAGTGATAACATCCTCATTGCCCAAGAATTACTGAGGAATTATCATAGAAGTAATGGCGCTCCTAGATGTGCTATTAAAGTTGACTTGCAGAAAGCTTTTGACTCTGTGTGCTGGTCTTTTCTGATGGATGCACTTGAAGCTTTCAGGTTCCCATTGATGTTCAGGTAGTGGATTTGGCAGTGCATATCTACCCCTAAGTTCTCTATCAATGTAAATGGAGAGTTGATTGATTTTGTCCCAAGTGCTAGGGATTTAAGACAAAGGGATCCTATCTCCCCTTACTTATTTGTGATTGCCATGGAAATCTTCTCTCTTCTTGCCCGCCATAAAATCACCTCTAGCAAGGGTTTCAAATATCACTAGAGATGCAAGAAAATTAACCTTACTCATCTATATTTCACTGATGACTTGTTACTTTTCTGCCATTGTGACTATTCCTCTGCTATGACCCTTAAGGATGTTCTGGACGACTTCCAGCTTCTTTCAGGGCTACAAGTAAACCATGCCAAGGGCAATATCTTCACATGTGGCATCCAAGCTGAGATAAAGGATCACATCATCCATCTCTTTGGGTTCTCAGAAGGCCAACTCCCTGTGGAGTATTTGGGTTTACCTCTTATTACATCTAGACTTAGATCCCAGCATTGCAATAAACTCATTGTAAGAATTGAGAGGAGAATTAGATCCTGGGCCAATAAATCTTTATCCTATGCTGGGAGGCTTCTCCTTGTAAAATATGTTCTATGTAGTACTCAAGTTTACTGGTCCTCTTATCTTATTCTTGCTCAGCAGGTTATCGATCGACTGGAGCAGCTTATGAGAAAATTTTTATGGAAAGGTACAGAGTTGAGTAGTTCGGGGGCTAAGATCTATTGGGAGGATATATGCAAACCAAAGAAAAAAGGTGGATTGGGTATTAAAAGAGTCAAGGAGTGTAATGTTGCCTTGATGATGAAGTACATCTGGAAACTTTTTACTGACATGCAGAATCTTTGGGTGAAATGGGTGCATGCTTATCACCTGAAGAGGAGAAACTTTTGGGATGTAAAGGCCACTCAGTCTTGCTCTTGGATTTGGCTGAATTTGTTGAAGTTAAGAGGGACTATTAGACCTCTAATGGTTCACAAGGTAATGGTGAAGGTACTATGATTTGGTATGATAATGGCCAATGGCAATGGCTGCCTTTTACCTCCTCTTCCTCTCACATTATCACCAACACAATGCCCTTCTACTTCCCCAATCCTTCAATGGAGGACAAGGTAAACTAGATTCTCTCTTCTAATTCAAAATTCTCCACTTCCTCAGCCTGGGAGCATATTAGACTGAGGAGTTCCCCAGTCCCATGGTATAAGTCTGTCTGGTCTGGAAATGCAGTCCCTAGAATGAGTTTCATCCTTTGGTTAGCTGTAAGGTCTAGGCTGAGTACCCTAGATAGAATTCAATCTTATGTAGCTCACTGGGGCACTAATTGTATCCTTTGCAGAGCTACAGATGAAACCCATAGTCACCTGTTCTTTGAATGCAGTTATTCATCAAATGGTTGGAACAATATTATGCTCACTAGTGGATTTTTCTGGCAACCCAAGCCATGGAATGAACTCATTGAATGGGTTGCTATCAATGGGAAGGGGAAATCAATGCAGAATTTGGTCCACAGAATTTGCTTGGCAGCTTCTGTCTACTATATTTGGATGGAGAGGAATGCTAGAAGATTTCGTAATCAATACAGGGACCTGATTATACTGAGCCATCTCATCCATCAGACTATAAGGAACAGAGTATCTACATTCAAATTCAAGGCTTCCACCAACAACCTACTTACAAGCCAATTATGAAACCTTCTCTCTTCTTGTTTCTTTTGCTTATAAGATGGTTCTTGGGCCTGCTTGGCCTTTGTTCCTGCTGCACTTCTCTATGGTCCTCTGTTTCCCTGTTCTTGGACTTAAAGTGAGGAATTCTATTGGTGTTTTCCCTTGGTGCTGGTTGCTGTGTTATTGTATCTTCTTCTCAATGTTGTAGTGCTCCTGTTGTACGTCTATGAGGTTCCCTCTATTCTTGGTTTTTGGTTTGGTGAGGAATTTTGCTGGAAGTCTAAGCTCTTTGCCTTTACTTCCTTCTAAATTCTTCTCCTGGGCTCTTTATTTGTCTGTGCTCTTATTGTTCTGCATGTCCCATGTTCTTTTTGCGGCAAGCTGAAGCACGCCAGCAATTGCTCTTCATTTTCAAAGTATGTTCTGTCCCCTCTGATGGATTTGTGAGGTGCACCTGCCACTTTGTTGATCTGGGTCGATGATGTTTTATCCTCTTGAATGAACATCATGTTTGTGCCAATTTGGTACCTCCCCATGTCTTGTCTTGAGTAATCCTGTGTGCTTGGGGAGTACCATATTGTCTTGTGCGTTTGTCTCTGGGGGATGTCTTTGTGATGTTGTTGTATTGCATTTGCTCCCTGCACTTGTGTCTTGTATTATGGGGGAAGTGTTGGCTCAAGGCATACACTTCCTTCAAAATTCAGCCCACTTGTGTCTTGTCTTTTGTGTTGGTATGCAAGCTTGTCTGCTGTGTATTGTATTTTATTTGTAGCTATGTTACGAAATTTATTTACTTTTCGAAAAAAAAAAAGAAACACATGAAATGTAGCCAATGTGCATACTATGCTAAGTGATGAAAAGGAAGTTATTGCCATATGGCAGTGAACAAGTGAGCTAAAATGTGATAGTTACCTCATCTAACTAATTAACTAAAAGGTAGTGATTAAAAAAATTTGTATTATTAGTTAACTACTATATGTATGTCTTGAGTCATCGGTCTCTTCCATCAATCATCAATTATATTGCAATACTTTTTATGTGCCCTAGAAAGAGCTGCTTGAATTGTCAGTTTGTGTCTCCTCATCCTTTCAAATACAGAACTCATAGTAGCTTGTGTCTCTCCATCCACCATTTTAAGCACCTTTGAGACAAGTGCATGTAACTTTCACACCATATGTGCTTTAATTATCCCAAAACAAATTACTTAAGACATTTCTTGCAATACTTTACCAATTGGATCCTTACTACCTGCACTCTTTGCCCACTCATCAGATGTAAACATCCTTTATCAAGATAGCTTTGGTCAAGAATACTTTGAATTGCAATAAAGTTTGTTACAAAATGTGTCACATATAGATGTAGAATCTCCCTTCCTTTGGTGTATTTTTGCATGATATCAAGCACCTTATTATGGTAGTAGATAAAATTTGATATTTTCTTTACTTAATTGATCACACTCTTCACTATATATCCATTAGCAAAATCTTCTAGTATAAAGTCAATACAATGGGTAGTGCAGGGGATCCAATACAAATGATTCCTCTTTCTCATCAATAACTCACTAGCCTTTTTAAATGTAGACACATTATCTGTAATTATTCGCATAACGTATTTTTCATCAATTTCTTCCACAACATCATCCATTAACTCATAAATATAGTGGCATCCTTATACTGACTTGAAGCATTAAAGAATTTATGAAACACATATTTCCCATCACAGTAAACTAAGGAATTTATAAAATTTTGTTGTTGATGTCCACCCATGATACGTAACAGTGACACCATATATTTCTCACTTTTTCTTAATATTTTCAATCTTCTCATTCATCAATTTCAGCATCCAAAATAGGCCCAGTGATCTCGTAAGGACTTCCACATTTACCCCCACTATTGCTTTCGCAATCTCATCTATCATAGTTTGGAAATATATATTTCTAGTTGCATTAGGTGAGATATGACTAAAAATGAACCACATACCAATGGCATGCTTTCTAGATTTCACATATTTATTGGAACCAAGCATGTTTGGTATCCTTTGTTGTATGCAATGATAGTTCTGGTAAATTGAAGGATCCATGTCCTCTATGTTTAAACCATCTGATCTCTTTCTAAATATTTATGTCAGTTACTTCATTTTATCCAATTGAGATGAAAAACCACTTTTTTTTGTCCGACCACTTTCATATTGTGCTCTCCCTTGCTCAAATTCATGTAGGTCATGCATAGACCTTTGCTTGGCAGCATAGACCTCTGCTTGGCAATATGCAATTGCCTCCTCGCTAAAGGGGTCATCTCCTTGTCTAAGTCAACTTCCTCATCACAATCAAAATTATCTGCATTAATTCCATGTCATTTTCTTGCAGATTCCATCAAAATATCCCTAAGAATAGTTCTTTCTATGGTTACTTCTTTGTTCTCTATCTTTTGACTAACATGGTGCTCCCTAATTGCCCTTGCCAGCTCAACTGGGCATTTTTCACATTTCACAACATTTGAAAAACCACACGCTATTTGTTGTTTTAAGTGTAATGCCCTAGAGCCTTTCATCTCTTTTCTGTAGTATTTGCACCTTGTCCACATACGATTATTGTCGATCATTTCTCCATGATCTCACCAAATTTTTCATTTCCTTCATTTTATCTCCTTCATCGGCTTCACCTTTGAGAATTTCTACCAATTCTTATGTTATTCATCAAAGTCCATCCTAATATCCATCGAGATTACTGCTTTAGCCTCCATAAAGTTAATAAAAGCATTATATTGCAACAATAGTAGCAAAGAGATGCATGTTTTTTTTGGCTCTTAGGCTATTAAGGAGTTTGATTACTATCCTTAATATCTCTAGAAACATAGGCCCAAATATGATTGAGTTCCATAAACAAAAGAAAAAAAAAACAATGTGTAGATAACCTAAGGATTGCATTTCCTACGAAGAGCTGGTAAAAAAAAAGAGACCAAAAAAAAAAAAGCAAATGGGTCACTCCCAACAGAGCAAAAGTCTTCATTTTTTTCACATTTATTCAAGCTGCCAATGAAATTTGACACATATCAATAAAATGATAGAGAAAAAAAATCTCCAGAATTGTTACACAGTTTAACAAGACAAAATGATGGTACTACATGCATTTTCCAAATTGAAAAGGAATTAAAGATTTTTTATTTCTTCTTTTATTTTTTGTGTACCACAAACCATTGTATATAGCATGTAAAATGACTCCAAAAATTTATTGTCTAATATAGAAAAAAATTAAGTTTAATATAACCAAACATATCTAATTTGTAGAGCAATTAACCCTCACAAAATAGATGGTCGCCGAATTGGTTTACTCTAGCTTTTCATGACCCATTATTCAACAAATTTAACACCTTGTTATTTAGAATAAACATGCTACCATGCAAAGTATAACAAGAAAATAGTCTTTTGTTGGTAGAAGCCAAAAAGAATGAACCGAAACTACTAAAGAAGGTTGAAGTTTTAGGTGAATCAACACACATACTCTGTAAGTCTAATTCAAGGAGCTCGACTACTGTTGGCGCTTATGGTTGGTCAATATGCTCCAGTCACTGCATTTGAGTTGGTTTAATCCTCACAAACCAGCAAAATAAGTTCAAATCCCAATTTTTTAGGTGATATAATTAGATACCAACTTCACCAATGATGATGTTTGTGTAAAACTCCATGAGTGGTAGAGTCTGAGTTGGGTACTTGGGAATGACCGAGTGGGTTCCTTTTTAATACTTTTTTTAAAGTTTTTGTGAAGTAGTTGAAAAATAGCTACATCTCGAACATTTCGTATGAAAACACAGAAATGTTATGAGTTTCTACGAAAAATTATACATTTAGAAATTCTCCTTGAATTTCGTTTCTGATTTTGCAAAAAAATGACACATTTCATACAAAACAAAACAAAATTTTACTCCATGATTGTGGTGGGACAAGCGAAAGACCTTGTACTAGAATTAAATAAGAATAATATCATATTAATATTTCTCCTATGATGAATAAAAGAAGTGTAGAAACCTCAAATCGTTGTTGAAAGATTGATTATGAAATTTGAGTTTCGGATGAATTGACAATCGAGTCAAACTTAGTTTCGAAGGTGTTTAAAAAATTTTAGGTCCAAATCAGGCCTCTATTGAATCCAGAAGTTCGAGAAACTTTGGGAGATGTAATATGAGATGTATTAGAAGTTAAAAAGTATTTCGTAGTTAAAGAGCATTTTAGAAAGAAATCGGGTAGGAATGAATTTGTCATTTCCTTAATATTTTAACCACAACTTTCTACTCCGAACTCCAATTAAGCTAATGTTTGGACAGTATAAGTTAGATTTCAAGGGCTACAAAAGTGTATTTCATGAAAATTTCCTGACTCGACTTGTAACTAGGTGAAAATCACTTTTGAAGTTAGGACAAAAAGTTGCCACAGTTCGGACGCCCCAGACACCATTCGGATGGGACTCCCTACCATAAATTCAAAAAATATTGTTCTTGAATTTCCAAGACTCTAATTTTTCCTAAACACATGTTTTATTGAGAAAGACGTATTGATTTTGTAATTCTAAAATTTCTATTCTTGATCAAATTAGGTTTTTATCAATTACTTGTTCTTGCTTCAAAAAATTATGATTTTGGTAAAGCCCTAGAATTTAGATATCAAAATTGTAAAGGTTTTCTTGATATGATCACTTGCATATTTTAATTTTCTTATTACTGTAATATATTAAGAATTGTGCAATTGTGATACTTGAATTGTTAATGAAATATTGTGATTGGTTAAGATTGTGGTTGTTGAGAAAACGGTGGTTTCATCTCTTGTATGGTTTGGGTGTGATGAACTTGAATTGCCTTCGAGCTACTATAGAGTGTTAGAGGTTAGTTTATCCCAGTGGGGGTGAGATGATTGTCTAACACTTGTAGTGAATTGTTGCTTGTAAGAGCAACCACTATTATTCACGTAAGTTCGAGGCTAATGGATATTATACCTTTCTTGAGAAAGATTTGTCAATGTCGTGGGAGATGGTAGATGTCATTCCTAAAGTGGTTTGTGATTTGGCCATTTGGGGAATGATTGAGATTGTGTTGTTGTGATCTATGAATGAGGTAGAATCAATGTGTAAATTCCTAAGAAATAATCAACATACATGAGAATATAGGATGATGTTACTCAGTTATTTATCGATTACTTTAATTTTTTACTTGTTTATTCCTGCCATTGATTTACTATATTCCATACACTGGAGATCATTACAACTGTCATAGTTTTACTATCAAAATTTATATATACTATTTTCGAAAAGAGACCTGCCTTATTAATGTTGTTTTAAAACCTTGTTGGAATTTGAGAGAAATTTTCTACGGGCTTCTTCTCACCCCCTACTACCACAAATTTATAGATTTTGTCATAGAAGATAATGTCGATGTGGATGAGCAAGTTGACTACGAGGCGGTGGAGGATCAAGATGCAGACTTTGTCTTAAAGGAATAAAGTTGTTCATTTTCTAGATTAGAGTTTGAGAAATTTCTATAAAACAATGTTTTAGCTAGTTTTAATTATTCCAATGCTAGTTATAGTTTGGTTTTGAACAGTAAGTTTGGAGATACTACAATGTTTTATTGTCTTTAATATTTGGTATTTA